TATGGGAAAAGTGGGGGGGGAAGACGGAAACCCAGAATATATATAGGAGAATGTGGGGAATAGCTTCATCTGTGTGTATTTATTTGTGCGTCCCTGGGCCCCTTCACATCTCCCCGGGTGCCGGGCCCTCGTCCCGAGAGGCGCTGCTCCGAGAGGCCGCCTGTCCGGGGAGCCCGAGGGGGGCGCCCGTCCGGGCCCCGGGGGCCGAGGCGGCCACGCAGTCCAGACGCGGAAGCAAGGACCGCTTCGGGTTCGGGGGGGGGGGCTTTCGCTGGTCCTCGGGTCCGTGCGCGGCTTTGGTGCACCCAAGACCACGGAGGGGGAGGGAGGGGGGGGGGGGAGGGGGGGGGGGAGGGGGGGGAGGGGGAGGGGAGGAGGAGGAGGAGGGGAGGAGGAGGAGGAGGAGGAGGAGGAGGAGGAGGAGGAGGAGGAGGAGGAGGAGGAGGAGCAGGAGCAGGAGGAGGAGGAGGAGGGGGAGGAGGAGGAGGAGGAGGAGGAGGAGGAGGAGGAGGAGGAGGAGGAGGAGAAGGAGGAGGAGAAGGAGGAGGGAGTCAGCCCCCTTCGTGCACCCAGGCGCTTCTGGTGCCAAAAAATGGGCTTCGCTCCTTACATTGGCGTTCCTCATGGCAGCAGCTCGGCTGTGGAGGAATCGATGCGCCTGAGGTCTGGGCGGGGTGTATTTATTCACGGCTCGGTCCCAGGTTTTCCAGCCCTCCCAAACAGGGGCCGAGCAGAAGCGGTCGGAGGATCGCGCTGCATCACCGATGCGCGGTCGGAGGATCGGGCTGCATCGCCGATGCGGCTCGATGTGGGGCCCGATCTTTTCCACGCCGACGACGCCGATGCGCGCCAACGTCGCCGATGCATTGGCGATGCATCGGCGATGCGGCGCGATCCTCTGACCCCCCATCTGCTCTGACCGCATTTGGGAGTGACTATTTGAGAGGCCTCCATCAACACGGATCTGCAGGGGCTCCGATCGCCCATACTTCCGAAGCGGCTCCTTTGCGAATCCGCGGCCCCGTAGCTTTTCAGGCCCTTGCCCCCGCGGCACTTTTTCGCCCCAGATCCGCTTCTCACGGCCCCAGATTCTGACGATGGGCCCTGGGGTGCCGGAACCGAGAAGAAACACCGAGGGTGGATTTTCCCAGGGCCAGGGCCGGTGCGGATGCAAAGAAAGGGCGCCCCGCAAGAGGCCTCTCGCCCGGCACCGGGGCCTTCGTCGGCGCGGAGTGCGGCCAGGCGGGGGGGGCGGCCCGCGGGGAGCCCCAAAGTGGTCCCGGTGGACTTGCTAATTGTTGTTCTGGCATCTTCCTCCTCGTCCTCCTCCTCTTCCTCTTCCTTTTCTTCCTTTTTTTCCTCCCTCCTTCTCATTGTCCCCCTCCGTCCCCTCCTTCCGTGGCTGTTTTGGCTGAAGACGTTTCTTGGGTCCGCCCCTCGACTGGATCCCGCTGGCCCGCGGCTCGCGTTCAGCTTTCTCCTGATCGCACCCACGGCGCTGAAGGGCGCCCTCCATATCTACAGTCAACCAGCATAGTAAGGATGGGCAGCCTTCCCAAGGGTACCCTTGCATCCTTGCCTCCTCGGTCCACCATTCGCAGCTTTCGCTGGCCGCGCCCCGCTCGAAAAGCTTCGAAAGGGGCGTCCAAAGCCCTTGCATCCTTATCGCGCATCCTTACTCGAGCGTGGTCGCAGCCTTCATAGAGTCCCATACCGTGCTGGGCGAACAGGCTCCCAACGCTCTGCGCATGTGGCCGGGATGCCAGACGCAGTGGCGAGAAGGAAGCAGACGTCGAGTTCAGTTCGGCCTGGCGAACTGGAGCAAGAAGGCGCCGCCCCCCCGTCCCCAGACATCAGGCTTCTCGAAAAAATCGAGAAGGAGGTTTATCGGGGTTTTCGGCCTCTCGAATCCCTCGCCGGGCCTTGGGACCGTCAAAAAACGATTCGGGACGAAAAATTGGTCCTAGGGAAATGGTTGGGAGGTCGGGGGCCCGTGTTTCGAAAAAATCGAGACGTCGGATGTTTGGGTCTCTGTGAAGGTGAAGAATCCCCTCGGTTTCCCGGTGCTGCAGACAGTGATCGGGGTGACTCCTGCAGACCAGGGGGGCTGACGGGATCCGCTTGGCCGAAGCATCATCGTGGAACCCCTTCGACGGCAGCTTGGCGCAGTCGTGGCTGGCCCAGAGAACCCATTCGCAAACATTGCCCAGCAAGCCGTCGCGTTCAAGGCATCTACAGCGTCCATCAAAGCAGCCCCCGCCAAAGCTGCGCATACCGCAAGCTCAGCCCTCAAGCCGGACTTCAACAGCCCCGAACAAAGATATACAAATTATCCGGAAGCGGCTCGTTAGTTGCAAGGTGGCGAGTACAGCAACATGATGCGTTTCTTGCGACGTTTTGCGCAGGTATTGACCAGATGCGGCCCGAACGGCACGTGATCAGTTCAATTCTTCCATCCCCCACGGCAGTCAACGAACGGGCCTTCAACAGGGACATCGACAAGTCCATCTTCGAGGTAACCGCACCCTCCCTGATCGACCGAGAGTCTGCGTTGGGAACTTTGGACCTGCGGCTCAAGGCCAGCGACTTGGGGGGTACAACATCGAGTCCCCTGCCCACTCCCGCACCTTCGTCGTTCAGGTCGAGGGAGTCGAAGGCTTCGCGGCGAAATGCGTTAAGAAAGCATTGGCTGGGCCCAAAACCAAGGAAGGATGAGTGCGGTGTTATGCCCGCGCCGTCGAAAGGAGCAGCGCGCAATTTCACGCGGTGCCTGATAAAGCACCAGATCAGATGCGGCGTGACATCCCAAGCAAGCGCCTAATCAGCAAGTTCCTCGACGAGGTCAACGGATGACTGTCAGAAGCACGGGCATCGATTCGCAAGATCACGCCAGCTCCATAGCGCGAGCCGTCAAGAGTACATTGAAACCGAATTCCGTGGACGAGCAGAAGCTCGACCGCAACCATCACAAAATCGTGGAGAAAAGCATGTCCCTCGACGCCGCTCCAGAGCGGTCTCCTCGACGACTTCCTTTTGCTCTCGCATACGCATCTACTGGGCCGCACTTGGAGCTCCACCCCTTCGCTTGCTTTTTCTATCTTGAATGCCAGCGCTCTTCTTCGACGAAGGGGACTCAGGGCGCTCGCGAAAGGTGGCTACCTGAAGTATGCCATGTTGGGCCGCACCTCCATGGCGGCTCAAGAGACGCACCAGGCGCCGCCGCAATTTCGTCACCACATCCGGCGGGTTGACCCGGTCCCCAGCGTCTTCGGCTCGCTCATGGAACGGGCGCCCTCGCGAATGCAGAGGGGGGCCGAGCGGTGGCCCTGTCGCGCGGGCAAGTTTTGCAAGTCCGCATCCACCCGGACATGGTCACACTTATCCAACGCAGCGTTCATAATCACGAGCTCATCCAGCGACATGTCGGCGCGGCGCTGGCCGCGTCCCGCAACGATCTACATCGATCCGCGCTGGGCCCTCGAGCACCCCGGGACTCGCCCGGCCATGGCAGGTGGCGGCTTGGACTTCAGCAGCCACCAGCACCTCGACTTCTCACTCGGCGCTGTATCGACACGCTGGGCACCACGGTAGAGATTTCTGCCGACGACATTCTTTTCAACCGGGAGGAGGGCCGCCTCTCCTGCACAGAGTTTGGGCGTCGATGCCATCGCGGTCATCTTGTCACGCTGAACCGACACCGACGCCCCCACCTACTGGGCGAACAGGTCTTCCCCGCCAACATGTACAAGCGCGCCAACTACGGCACCTGGATGCCCTCGACGACAAACGAGTCTGCCTAAGTCCGCCACGCGGCGCCACCTCGGCGTCTCGAACAACATAAGGCCGCAATGCTGGCGGCCGCCCGCGTCGCGACGCGCGAGCACCCCACCGCGGATCCCGATCATACCCTTGCCCAGGCGTTGCTGGCCAGGTTGGCCGCGAGAGCTGTTCATCGAAACGACGCGACCCTCGCCCGCGAGATCATATCGAGATACTCGGATGTTGCTGCACGCATCGACAATGCCGACAGCACGGCTGAGCCAATGCGCCCCGGGCCGTCGGGAGTTGGACGAAGCGCGCACTTCCATTCCATTCGGCCAAGAGGGGCATCTCCATTGCACAGACTGGTAAAATCAAAAGGAGACGGACGAAAGAACAAGCAGGCAAATTCGCGTCGGCGGAGCGCAGCGCGAAGTTGCAAATCCCCGCGGCGGCCAACGCCGACGGCGCATGCGCATACCTTGACACTGCGTAGATCCAGGCGCTGGCCACAGACTGCGGCCCAGATCTCCGCAGCGCGACCTTTCGACCGCGGCGCCGCCGCGAGGCGCGTTGGGGAGCGCCTGCCCAGCATGGGCTCGATCCCCCGCCAGCGAACAAGGTGCTCGCCCTCAGACGCGGGCGGCATTCCCGACGCAGCGCGGGGGCGGCCCCACGCCTCGGTTCCGCGGGCGGCCGGCGACGACGACTCCATCGGAGGGCCAGCGGCGCAAGACAAGCACGCCTATCCCGCGGCGCCCACCCCGACGACCCCCCCCCCGATTGATCGGCAGCTCGCGCGGCGCGCAAAGTTCGCACCCTGGGGCGCCGCCAAGCTGATCTCCGCGACGCCCCACGCGGCGCGCGCCCTGGCGGCGACGCATCGCTCCAGGGATGCAACGCGATTTTGTTCGAGGACGACGGCCGACTAACAACGTCCTAGAATTCGACGTGAAGGCTCGCAGAGCGGGGGCCCTGCCCAGGCCTGCGATGCGACCTTTCGCGCTTGTCGGGTTGGATTTCGGCGCGGCCTTCCCGAGCCGGTCGCAGCGACTCCCGCTCGACGCGCGCCCCCGACGCCCCTGCTCGCTTCATCTCCGCCGCCCGCGGGAACCGCGCCGACGCGACGGCCGCGGCCGCCAGCGGGCCGATCCAAAACCTCTTCCTGGCCACGCGCTTCACGATCAAAGGGCGCGCGTTCTCGGCCCCCTCTTGGGGCATCTTGGGGCCGCGCCATTTGC